TGAAGGGCACAAGAAGTCCGTATAGCGCGACTCTTGTAAAAAATGCAGAGAGGGAATGTCGTACACAACCCGGGAAGAGGGGAGAATTAGGCGAATTCCGGCGACGGAGGGACATTTTGCGCTTTTGCTGCTTCCTGTTGCCCGTGTTCTGCTTTGCAAGACTGCTCCTTTACAAGAGTTGAGTTAGTTCCTACAAACTTTGAGTAGTATCACTCCACGGCTCCACCAGATTACACAAATCTGCTTGCGGCCGGGCTGCTTGACACGACTAAACAAAGCAGCAAAAGTGCAAAATCCCCCCTCCCCCACCCCCTCCGTCGCCAAACTGCGCCAGGAATTACATTTAAGTACTGCATTCTCCCTCGCTTGTTAAGCTGCTTCTGAAAGCGTTTTAGCGCAGTGCGCTTGGGGGGCACCGACGTAGCTTAGCTTGTGGAGATCACTTTGTAAAAACCTGTGAGTTCCTGTGACCAATCTGACTCACTCGCAGATTCACAGTATCTCACAGGTCTTACCTGAAGGAAACTTGTTATTCAGCAAAGTAACAAATATTTAGCGAAAGTGCAAAATGTCCCTTCCAACCGAGTTGCGCCACTGTTTGTGACTTAATACTTCTTAAGTAGATCATAGCGCTAATAACCTTGGGGAGCATAGGGACCTTTTGTTCCCGCAATGAAGACGAGTTGAATTTAAAAGGGGAGGTGGTGGAAGAGGAAGTGGGAGGAGCTGCTGAGTTGGTAAAGCACTTCAAGGGACGGTACTTCCGAGCGCTTTAATTGTGAACCGTGGTAGGTAACCTTCCGTAGAGGACGGTACTTTTATTTGGACAACGTCATTCCCTCTTTGCACTAGCAAATTTTTAAAATGCACCCCCCCCCCCTTACGAGGTTATTATTACCTAAATCGCTAATCGGAATCCAATAGGTCCTGACGTCCCACACGTACTGACTTATTCATTATTGCTGTTAGACATAATGGCATGCGCTAATGTTTAGTTATTGTTCTTAACGTTCCAGTCCGACCACAAATTACCCCCGATACGAGCGCGCGCAGCTACCAGCAACCGGTTGACCCAGTTTGACCCCCGTGGGGACTGAGCGTGCACCTGACTGCTTTAATTGGAAAGCGTTTGATTGCTACTGTTCGGGCCGTTTTACCATATTTGATGGTTTATGAAACGAGCACATAAAAAGTGTGTATTCATGTGAAGTTTACTGGCGCAGTCGGCGAGGGGAGTCGGCTGAGGGAGGGCATTTTTACTTCGGCTGCCTTCTTCCATTTGTCAGGTCAAGCATATAAAGAGAGATCTCGTGAAGTCTGTGATATTTCTCTATATGATCTTGAGCAGTCTAACGTCTGCAAACTCTTTGCAAAACAGTGAGCACAACAACGAGACCCCTCTCCCCCCTCTAGCCGAACTGCACCAATTCGCGTTCTCTGAGAAATCGAAATTTGGCACTGCTTACCCTTTTGCTACCACAGTCAAATCAGACCAGTTTTTTTCCGATTTTTTTTTCTAGAAAGGCATATTCAACTGATAGTTGTACTGAGTAGTTTAACATGCTGAACGCGAAGATCGCATCTGCTTGACACAAAAGCGCCAGGCGTCCGCGCCACAGGGGTCGACGCCAAAATACCCCAAGTTACCAAATTCGCTGAAAACTTGTTTTCAGGAATAGTTTGACCTCCTCCAACTCGAGTATCCATTAGCTCGGCTTGAAACCGCCTGGGCTGGTTGGAGCTAGTTATTATGTAGGGCTAATCAAGCCTTCCACCCCTCTGGGGTCGGTGACTTGCTACTAGACCCATCGTTAGGACAAATACAGTGACTTGAACCTGACTGTCTACTTGACTTGTACATCCACTGGCCCATAAGTCATTGTTTAGCAATTAGCCCTTCGATCATCGACCTCGGAAAGATAAAGAACCAATTTAGGTCAGGTAAAGACCATACCAGGGGCAGTTCGGCGAGGGGAGGGGAGGAGGCATTTTGCCTTTTGCAACTTTCCATCGATGTGTCGACCCATCTAGAGCTTTTGCTTTTGTTGACAGGTTTTTGCCATGGTAGCTGGACGATTTTCTCCAGCTTCACAATTGAAGAAAAAGAAGGAAAGGTGAACATATTAAGTATGTAAATAAAAGTGATTCGTTTCGCCTCTAAGTCAGACGAATCACTTTTTAGACGTCAGACCCCCGAAGCTCAAGACCTCACAGGTTTCACTAAAGTGAGACTCGTAATCCGGAACTAGTGAAGTAACGAAGGTGCAAAATGTCCCTTGTCACCACTGCGGCAGCATACTTCTTTCTGATGTTACTACTACTCTGCGTAGAGCGTAGAAATAGAATGCCGTATCCCGGCAAAAGGTTGATCAGTGGCAAGCATCAGCCCTTTAGAGCTGGTTGCTAGCTGTTCCATCCCTATTACTAGTTCATAGATCCTCGGGCGACTCCACTCGGTCGCAGTTTTCTAGCCAGTAATCCATGTTTTTTAGTCCGAGCTACTCCTGATATTTGTCTATTTACAGATCGTTGGAAAAACAGTGCGGGATACCGTATCCACGTTTACGAATGTTTCTCACAACGAAAGATGGCCGAGTAGAAGAGTTCCGATATCCGGGCATGTCATTACATTATTATCGGATCGAAGACGATGACATTCTCAATTTGCAGGTGTGTAGTGTCCTTCCTTTGTTATAATGGTCCGACTAGGCTTTCGAGAGATCGGAAGGGTCTTTGGCAAATATTGTTCAGATTGCGTTTATGTATCGGGCCAATATTGGAGAAGCAATGTGAAGCGATACAAGCGCAATGCTTTCGAGTGCCATTCACCTCGCTCGGCGACTTGAGCCTCCCTTGTCGAGGACGAATCGAGCGTTTTTCGTAAGGGGTGTGCCTCGCCGAGATATTTTGCCACCGCTCCCTGCGCTTCCCTCATTTGCACCAATTTGTTGGGCGGCTCTGGCCATTCAAGCATATTTTGGTGCAGGCAGCCAATGGACATCGAGCGCATGTGTATATGACTTGTTGCGTCGGCTTTTATGATGGTGGCCATTAAGTATGCCGTGAACGGACATGTTGCCCAGGCGGAAGCCGAACGATCCCACCTGCCCTTGCCCTTTGAAACCGGTCCCGTCTCCCGATATTTCAGGCCAGACACCGCCGTCCACGCAGTGTCCGTTGGCGCTCTGAGTGCGCCCTTTCTAGCTTTTAAAAAACCTGTTGTGGCTCTCGGGCAAATATTATTGGGCGCATCTGGAACTATTGGCTTCATTCGAGGGCGCAAAATTCAATAATAGGGACAAGCCTTCTAAGACGCTAGGTGTCAGCTCGGCTAGTACAACTGACTGCTCTTTGGTCGATATGTTGGTGCTCCTCTTTGAGGGATAATTGAAACATTCAAATTGTTTTAATTAGATCCCCAATAAATCTTAATCAAGTGGAGAGTAACTTCCGCTATTTCATTTCTATTTTATATTTTCCTTAACACATATGGTTTCGAAGTAAAGCGCATCTGTCCTTTCGTTGGATACCAGATGTACCGAAAGCGTCCGCAGGAGGGATATTTCTGCGCGTGTGAGCTGGAGTAGTGATGAGGGAAGGGATGAAACTTGGCGTTGTGAGATAGATGAGCGAATCCAGAACGACGGGTGTGTAAAGCAAAACAAATGAGAAGCGCAGGAAGGCCCCCTTCATTCAACATTGCCATTATTTATGTCATTTCGTATTCTGGCGTGTGTGGACGTTAGTGATTCGTCCAAGGGTAAAGATCGCCCCCACAGGAATTTAGAAGGCGATGAAGATTAGTATGGTCAGTGGAGAAGATTACCTGCCACAGAAGAAAATGGGCTTAGATCGAGGGTTTCCCGCCCAAGATCTTCTCCGTACTAAATTAAAGTTTCAGGAAAACAGGCGGTACATACACCAAACTGAGGGCGTAGGGGTAGGAATGCACAGGACATCACTCAATCCCCGCCCAAGCAGTCCTTAGTCAGGTGGGAAGCGGAATGAGCGTCTAGCTCCCTGGCTTCACCCGGAGCTTGTGCAAAAGCCGTGCAACCCAAGCTAATAAACTTGGGTAACTAAATCGGCGGTATGCCTAGCTGTCGCATTCACGGAGACGGCACATTTAATTTCACGCCCAGT